TAAAACAAAATTGTTAGCACACAACAATAGCATAATCTATATTAACAGTTGGTATTTTTTGCATACTTAACTATCATGTGATCTCAAACAACTATTCTGATATTCAGAGCTATTGTGTGGCCTCTAGCAGAATTTCTGATGCACATTTGTAGCTAGTCTGTCACACAGATCTGTGTACATTTGTAGCCAGTCTATCAAACAGATTTGTTTTGTGGTTTCCAGAAGCTATTCTGATACACAAAGTTGTTGTGTGGTCTCCAATAGCTATTCTCATACACAAAGCAGTTGTGTGGTCTCCAATAACTATTCTGATACACAAAGCTTTTGTGTAGTCTCCAGAAGCTATTCTTATACACAAAACTGTTGTGTGGTCTCCAAAAGCTGTTCTGATACACAAAGTTGTTGTGTGATCTCCAGAAGCTATTCTGATACACAAAGCTTTTGTGTAGTCTCCAGAAGCTATTCTTATACACAAAACTGTTGTGTGGTCTCCAAAAGCTGTTCTGATACACAAAGCTGTTGTGTGGTCTCCAATAGCTGTTGTGTGGTCTCCAGATGCTGTTCTGATACACAAAGCTTTTGTGTAGTCTCCAGAAGCTATTCTGATACACAAAGCTGTTGTGTGGTTTCCAGAAGCTATTCTGATACACAAAGCTGTTGTGTAGTCTCCAGAAGCTGTTCTGATACACAAAGCTGTTGTGTGATCTCCAGAAGCTATTCTGATACACAAAGCTGTTGTGTGGTCTCCAATAGCTTGATGATACACAAAGCTGTTGTGTGATCTCCAGAAGCTATTCTGATACACAAAGCTGTTGTGGTCTCCAATAGCTATTCTGATACACAAAGCTGTTGTGTGGTCTCCAGATGCTGTTCTGATACACAAAGCTGTTGTGTGATATCAAGAACCTATTCTGATACACAAAGCTGTTGTGTGGTCTCCAGAAGCTGTTCTGATACACAAAGCTGTTGTGTGATATCAAGAACCTATTCTGATACACAAAGCTGTTGTGTGGTCTCCAATAGCTATTCTCATACACAAAGCAGTTGTGTGGTCTCCAATAGCTATTCTAATACACAAAGCTGTTGTGTGATATCAAGAACCTAATCTGATACACAAAGCTGTTGTGTGGTCTCCAATAGCTATTCTGATACACAAAGCTGTTGTGTGGTCTCCAATAGCTTGATGATACACAAAGCTGTTGTGTGATCTCCAGAAGCTATTCTGATACACAAAGCTGTTGTGTGGTCTCCAGAAGCTATTCTGATACACAAAGCTGTTGTGTGGTCTCCAGAAGCTATTCTGATACACAAAGCTGTTGTGTGGTCTCCAATAACTATTCTGTTACACAAAGCTGTTGTGTGATCTCAAGAAGCTTTTCTGATACACAAAGCTGTTGTGTCTGCAGTACACAAAGCTGTTGTGTCTGCAGTAGCTTTTCTGATACACAGATTTGAGAATATAAATTAATCAGTGTTCAAGTATGATGTTGATAATGATTAATCAATGCAGGTTATTCTTACATGAGACCAGCATTGTAGAATTGTTACTATTTAGCAGTGTGCTATTGTTGATGATATTTAGCAGTGTGCTATTGTTACATGCCTAGCCTCAGACTGGCCTCTTCTGTGTATAAACAAATGACTTTAGTATATATAATAGTAGAGATTCAGTCCATTTGTGATATTGTTTCTAGCTAAATGTTTTCTGAATTTTTCGTGATTTAATTATTATATGACGGTATGCTTCCTCTCTGTTGGATGTGATGCCCTTTTGTTCAAGGGAAGTATCTCAATAATGGATGTGTACGTTAAGCCATGTACTGTTAATTGAGAGGTAACTCAGCATTGAAAACACCATGGTGGACATCATAAACAGTCAAGGGAAGATCACTCCATCATGGTTTTGTGCTTTCCTGTTCAAAAGGGAGGCCACTCCATCGTTGATGCGATATACTCTGTTCAGGGAAAAGTCACTTGATGATTGATGTTGTTTCCTATGTTGATGAAAGGTCCTTCCAGGATGGATACATCTTATGTGCAAGGGACATCACTCCACAAAGGAAGTTATGTCCTGTGTTAAGGGGAGGTCACTCCTAGATGGTTGTGATTTCATGTTCACAACAGCCGAGTAAAAGTACTCTGTTATGCTTTAAAGCTACAACAAGGATTAAATAATAGAACAAAACATTTTAGTCTGGTTTCTTTATCTACCTGGATCTTATCCCAACAATGTGACATTCCTTAGGTATTGCTGATGCAGCAGAAGCCCATCTCCTCATGAATGTATCCTTTCTTCAGATTTTGCTCTTGTGAAATCTGAATTTTTTTTTTTTTTTTTAGGTTATTCAAATCGCCCTGCGTCCGTGGTCCGTCCGTAAACCATTCTTGTTACCGCTATTTCTGGAAAAGTACGGGATGGATCTTTCTCAAATTTCATATGCAGGTTCCCCTTGGTCCCTAGTTGTGCATTGTATCATTTTTGAACTGATTCGCATTCAAGATGGCCGACAGGTGGCCATCTTGGATTTTGGAAGTAAAAGTTTGTTACCGCTATTTATGGAAAAGTACTGGATGGATCTTTCTCACATTTCATATGCAGTTTTCCCTTGGTCCCTAGTTGTGCATTGTACCTTTTTTGGACTCATTCGAATTCAAGATGGCCGACAGGTGGCCATCTTGGATTTTGGAAGTAAAAGTTTGTTACCTCTATTTCTGAGAAAGTACTGGATGGATCTTCCTCAAATTTCATATGCAGTTTCCCCTTGGTCCCTAGTTGTGCATGGTACCTTTTTTGGACTGATTCGAATTCAAGATGGCCGACAGGCAGCCATCTTGGATTTTGAGAGTAAAATCTTGTTACTGCTATATCTGAGGAAGTACTGGATGGATCCTTCTGATATTTCATAGATATTGGTTTCCCTTGGTCCCTAGTTGTGCATTGTACCTTTTTTTGGACTGATTTGAAATCAAGGTGGCCCACAGGCAGCCATCTTGGATGTTGACAGTAATACAGCACAAGCATACTGTCCATTATCCACCTGTAACAGACTGCTATCTAATAATACTTTGGGATCTTTTTCAAATGATATTTGCTAATAGGTGCTTAATAAAAATATCTTGTGCCATCATTGAGTACATTCAATGAAGACCAGTTCATGAACATTTACAACACCTGTAACAAACAAAAAAATATAAACAAATCTTCAAGAACTAAAAACAGATCCTCAAATGGTGGGCGCCAAGATCCCTCTCGGATCTCTTGTTTTTTTAAGTTTTGAATCTGAATTATGATTGATTTTATTGCTATTCTAGTAATTATATAAAAAGTCCAAGTCTCCATAGTATGTTTGTCTCAGCAATCTATTTTCATATGTATGTCTATTTCAACATTATAGATATTCATATTACTAGACATTGGTTACCTATTGAAATATTATAGAAACAGACATATTATTACAAAGGCAAAGCATTTTTCTCGAATTCCTTCATAAATGTGATAGACCTTGGATGGTGTAGACAAATTGAGGCCATGTTAGAAATCTTAAAAAATGTTTGTCTAAAGCAGTCTTGATCAAATGCTTTTCAGTTTTAATGCAAGGCAGTTGTTCCTTTTATGTAGATTCACTATTTTGCAAGACAATTCACATGATGCTGGACCAAAGGATCTGAAATCTACCTTGAATATCTAAGGAACATCAATATAAACTATTGTGGTAGTTTCTGTACATTTCGTATATCAGGTAAATCATTGCTGTACGTTTTGAACATGAAATAAACATAACATGAAGCTGTGTAACAGTAGACTCCTGTCAACATCAGGGACTCATATACGTGAACTGCATGACATGAACAATTCTTTCCTCTGCTACGCTTGGTTCAGCAGGTGGAGGCCTGCCTCCAGTCTTCTGTCGCTCCTGGCTTTTTGAGGTAAATTTGACCTTTGCACTGTGAGACATGATTTGCCAGTGGTTCCCTACTTTTTCCTCGAACCTGCAGGCTAACCCCAGGGCAAGTTCACTTAAAGGCCTTTTCTGTTAGAGTGCCTGAAGGGACAGAATATAAATGCCACTTTGTCAATCATACTTTTGTTCAGAGCTTTACCCTAAAACTATAAAAGGTATTAACATGAAACTTCATTGGTAGATAGATCCCAACTAGGAGCAGTACAGAGCACAAGAACCATCACTCTCTTTTGCCAAATTTAGGAGTTATTGTTCAAATCGCTCTGCATCCGTGGTCCGTAAACAATTTCTGTTATCGCTATTTTTTTAAGAATCCTGGATGGATGTTTCTCAAAATGCATATGAAGGTTTCCCTAGGTTCCTAGATGTGCCGGTTTGAATTTGGGACTGATCAAATAAATAAAATGGCTGACAGGCAGCTATCTTGGAATTTTAAGTGAAGTTTGTTATCGCTATTTCTTGAAAAGTAAGAGATGAACCTGTCTCAAATTTCATATGTAGGTATATAGATCTCAACAAAGGGACAATAGCCATTTCTCTCCTTTGCATAATTTAGGAGTTACTGCCCTTTGTTATTTCTCATACTTAAATTTTGTGCCATTCAGAGAGCATAACCCGTCTCTGCAGCCCTTGTTTTTATTAGTCAAAGACTTGTTACATTTAATGATGTTGTTAGTTTAACTAGTTTTTTACAACCAAGCCCTGATGATGGTTTACAAAAAAGTAAACACTTAAGGATTGTTTCTTATCTTCTGTAGCTGCATCGAATTGTATTTATATTTGTATTTAAATATGTACTTACCCCAATGTAAATACAGATCGATGCAGCTACAGAAAATAAGAAACAATCCTTATATTAACACTTGGTCACTTTGAAATTTTAAAAAAAAGAAAAGAAAAAGAAAATCACCATACACACATTGTTGGAACAGCCGCCCGCTTTATAGAACAGCCAAGTAAATCCAAAAACACAAGGTGGCGCTGCCGTTGACAAGTACATTAAACAAAATAGTTCTCAAAGATAAGAGTACAATCAACATGTTTTATAATATTTATTTAAATATTTCGCCATCTTTTAGTTTTAAGAATCAATAGTTCAATGTTTATACAACATTCCTCTATCATAGTACACAAATTCATTATTTAACACCGCACAGGTATATATCTATAAATACGTGATGAGGCCGCCTGATACGCTGATTGAAAGAGTGTTAATATATTGATATGAAAAAAATGGACACATTTTAATTTTCATAATTATGATGACAATAATGATAATAATGATAGTTAATACATGATCAAGTGCTACATGATGTATACTGATGCGAAGGACAAACGTTATTGGTCTTAACTTAGGGAACAGACCTATAGGGCATCTTTTAAAAATAAAACCCTCATCAGGTGTTAATGTCAGATTAACAGACAATGCACATAACATTAGCTTTGGTGCATTAGCATGAACTAACAAGAGATCCCAGAGGGATCTTGGCGCCCACCATTTGAGGATCTGTTTTCAGTTCTTGAATATTTGTTTATTTTTGTTTGTTTGCTTCAGTTGTTGTAAATGTTCATGAACTGGTCTTCATTGAATGTACTCAATGATGGCACAAGATATTTTTATTAAGCACCTATTAGCAAATATCATTTGAAAAAGATCCCAAAGTATTATTAGATAGCAGTCAGTTACAGGTGGATAATGGACAATATGTTTGTGCTGTATTACTGACGACATCCAAGATGGCTGCCTGTGGGCCACCTTGATTTCAAATCAGTCCAAAAAAGGTACAATGCCCAACTAGGGACCAAGGGAAACCAATATCTATGAAATATCAGAAAGATCCATCCAGTACTTTCCAAGAAATAGCAGTAACAAACTTTTACCTGTCAGCCATCTTGATTTCGGATCAGTCCAAAAAGGTATAATGCACAACTAGGAACCAAAGTGAACCTGCATGTGAAAATTGAGAAAGATCCATCCAGTACTTTCCAAGAAATAGCAGTAACAAACTTCTACATCCAAAATCCAAGATGGCCACCTGTCGGCCATCTTGAATTCGAATCAGTCAAAAAAAGATACAATGCACAACTAGGGACCAAGGGGAAACTGCACATGAAATTTGAGAAAGATCCATCCAGTACTTTCCAAGAAATAGCAGTAACAAACTTTTACTTCCAAAATCCAAGATGGCCACCTGTCGGCCATCTTGAATTCGAATCAGTCAAAAAAAGATACAATGCACAACTAGGGACCAAGGGGAAACTGCACATGAAATTTGAGAAAGATCCATCCAGTACTTTCCAAGAAATAGCAGTAACAAACTTTTACTTCCAAAATCCAAGATGGCCACCTGTCGGCCATCTTGAATTCGAATCAATCCAAAAAAGATACAATGCACAACTAGGGACCTAGGGGAACCTGCATATGAAATTTGAGAAAGATCCATCCCGTACTTTCCAAGAAATAGCAGTAACAAACTTTTACATCCAAAAACCAAGATGGCCACCTGTCGGCCATATTGAATTCGAATCAATCCAAAAAAGGAACAATGCACAACTAGGGACCAAGGGGAAACTGCATATGAAATGTGAGAAAGATCCATCCAGTACTTTTCCATAAATAGCGGTAACAAACTTTTACTTCCAAAATCCAAGATGGCCACCTGTCGGCCATCTTGAATTCGAATTAATCCAAAAAAGGTACAATGCACAACTAGGGACCAAGGGGAACCTGCATATGAAATTTGAGAAGTTCCATCCAGTACTTTTCCAGAAATAGCGGTAACAAGAATTGTTTACGGACGGACGGACGACAGACCATGGACGCAGGGCGATTTGAATACCCCACCATCTGATGATGGTGGGCTAAAAAAGACAATGATTGAAACATTATTAGTAGATGTTCATGTAGCCATAAAAGCTGAAGAGTTTATACATCCATATTAGTGAGGATTTTATTGGAGATGGGTTTACGACACACAGCACATTTCGTGAGCGCATGTGCACAATTGCTGCAGGCCACTAAATGACCACATGGAATAAAAGCTATGGACACCTCATCTTCCAAGCAAATTTTGCACACCGTTCTATCCCTCATCTCTCTATTCTCTCTTTTGATGTGCTTAAGTTCTTCACCTGTAAAGATAAAACCAAAGTGAGATGGGGGTCAAAAGATACACTCGACCCAGTCACCAGGAAGTGGTACCCCAGGATATATGTAATTATCTCTATTAATTTGTTGGAGATTTCTTGATTGATCAAGCATTCTCTGAAACATGTCAACCTTAATCAATAAACAGTTAGGAGACTGCATCATCAATGTCCCTCCTCAAAGACTTTTTTTTTATATCAGATTCTAGTACAGCAAATGGAGATTTTCAAATATACTGAGAAATTAATGCAGTTACAAGTAACAAGTCATATTCATATTAACACTAAAAGTTTGGGAGCACGTCATTGAAGCATGAAATATGGGTCAAATGCAGAATCTGCAACCTAACAGCTCTTGCTGTTTCACTTGATCAAGTACCAAACAATGCGAGTGACACTCAATAGTTTACCCGATATGAACTGTGTCACTCATGCAGGTATTTTCCATCTACTATTTAGCACAAATAATTTTGCAGATAAAGGCTGCACAACTCTTTTTAAATAGATGGATTGACAGGCAGATGGACAAACAACACGGTACCATAATATGAAATCAAAATGTTTGATGGATATAATATACAACAATCCCAAGCAATAAGATTTGGTAAGGAAGAACTGAAGACATTTTACTGATATGACCAAGGAAAACTTTTGATAAATCCATACATTTTCTAATTACAGATATTCGTGATCTTTGACCGTACTGAAACATTACTGAAACAGTTACATATAAAGTGAAAACCACCCAAAAATTGAAACAGAAGCAGGATTAGCAGATGGAGGCAAGTACAATATACTCTTCCCCCCTGAATCAACTGAAAGTAGAAAAATTCACTACACAGAAGGATGGACAGACTTACTTAGTGGTTCTTTTGTTTTACCACCTCCAGACAAGCCTTCAAAAAAGAAACAGAAGAATAAGATAAAGATACATACCCGTAATCATATATACATCACATCATTGGTTTTAGAAAACACACCCTACGCATAGTATACACATTACAACAGTTTTTCAAACAAGTATTACACCTAAGTGGAGAAAATCTTAATATTACAATTTACCTGTTATCATAATCAATGTAGGGCTGGTACTTGTGTGAATCTTCACAGGATTTTGTTTCAACATTTAACAGGCCATAACAACAATGTGTTTCTCTACACATTTCATGAACTGCATTAGCAATTCTAGGTAAATATGTGCAGAAAAGCCCAACCTTATCAGGACCTAATAAACATTAAACAAATGATTTTTTTCCCTTATACTTACCTTATTTTATTTTATCACTAAAAGTTTGCAAAAACAAAAACGCTGGATGATGTCAAAAAGTGTCTGATTTCTAAGCACGATTGTAGCAAATGTCTTGACAAATACAGCACAACATTTAATTTTGTGTCATCATCATTAATAAGTTTGATATAATCATTTAATTATATATAGTATTTAAAATTCAGTTCCCTATATAAAAAGAAAATTAAGAAATTGAAACATGTCGGTTTCACTTTAGTTTGCCAGGCTGAGATAACATCCATTGAAAGCGGTTGTCGTGAAAGTTTGTTGCTTGAATAGAAACAAGTTCATAATTAAACACAAGTTTTTCTCACCATTGCCTAGAACAACCTTCAAATTTGATAGTGTTCAACCTGCTATACGGTGGTAACAAGGATACACATCGACCTGCAGTACCCATGTAACAGAGGTCATTGTTAATTTCAATGCATTCGCTAGGAATCAAACCCGGACGCCTGACTTACTAGCCTGAAGCTCAACTAATCAAGCTAAAGAGAAGTTCTCTCTAGCCGAGTGGTATATTACGGCTAGTATTTTACCAGGGTTACACTGGGAATAGGAATTATCGTGATCATGAATAAGTGCAGCTTTCCTTTTTTCTTAATCTCCTGCTCTGAAGATAAAAAGATATCTATCATCGATAAACTGTTGGACTTCCAGTAAGGCACTCGACTTTAATTCAGCTAGCCATATGGGGTTCAATTCCTACAACAGATATGAAAATGTATGGGGGTCACCTGTGCAATCATATGGGTTTTCCACCAGTACTCTGGTTTCCATCCACAATAAGACCTTCCAATCGGACAAACAACAGTGTGAAATCAATCACATTACAAATTACAAATTGAACTAAAAAAACATTCATTGGCAATTTAGTTTTATGCTTGGTACTTAGCTGATCCGAGATCATCATCCTAAATCCCTATTTATAGAAATATTTACAAGTGAAATCTGACACAGATTAAGAAGAAATAATATTGTTAAGATTGTTGACCAGTAATAACTGCTAGTTTGATATCAACGGTCATGATGCCCTAGTGACATGTCAAAAATTGCCTTCATTTCTAAAGAGTTCCTCATCGTTATAACTAGTAATTTATTATGTCTATCACTCTTACAACAAGGAAATTGTTGGTACCATGTGAAAATGCTTGCACTTCATATATTTTTTCACAACATACAATTGTGTTTGTGGTATGATATTTTTTTCTATTATTCTCTCTCTTTATTTTTCTAATTTCATATGCATGTTTTTTCTTGTTTTTTTTTTTTTTTTTTGTCACCATTAGCGCTAGTAGAACTCACAATAATGTTTTCTTTTTTACTGTGATGAAGTATTTAAATGATTTTTTTTGTAAATAGGAACAAGATTTTCACCAATGCTTTCAGGCTCAATGGCTGTAAATATTGTGTTCTAGCTGTACATGTGAAAACGTCGCTGCAATTATGACCGCAATAAAATAAGAATTCATTTTTCATCAACAATGTCTTTTCTTTTATTATCATTATCAACTATTGTATTTCATGCAATAAATTACCATTTCAATGAAATAAAACTGAGCTGGGGCACACAAAGTCATTCTTCCCAAACCACCCCATCATCTTCTTATGATCTAAATCTATTTTGAGGTCAGTCTATTGAGATATCTTGTACATAATGTTCTCGTTTCAAAATAGGTCAAGGGTGAATTTTGACTTCAACCTTGACCAATGACCTCCAAAATCTATTTAAGTGTAGATCATGGTGGGGTGCTGATGCTGTGGTGTGAATATGAACCAAATTTGTCCTAGGATTCTGGAGATACCTTGTAAATCAGGTCATCATGGACACAACCACACATACAAAGTAAAAACTATACAGCTCCCTTTATCCCTAAGTGGAGGTATAAAAAATAACATTACCAAACTGTTTAGTTCTTGCTGCTGTGTTCTTCCTTATGACATTACGCACCATCTCTTTAGTGATCTCATCGGCAGCTGTCAAAAACAACAACACTGTAATATTACATCCCTCCATCTGGACAAATCAACACCTGGTACAGGAAAGAAGTATATAAAATAGAGATATAGTTTTATTACAAGATTACCTAGCTATTCAGTGAATACACCTTTTTTTTTCAAACATTTTATTGACTAAGACGAGACATACATAAGATTACAAATGTGTCCTCACACAGGAGGGCTCTCATACTTTCACACATCATTCAGACTTCTCATATTCCAGACTATGAAATACATGTACACACACCTACACACATACTGTTAGTCTTAAATGTTCATACTAACATTCCTTACATTCAACATTACGACTGCTAACAATAAGCTAAATCTAAACATAACTGTACACCTCTCACCATTCTCACTGTTACCACATGTACACAATTCACATTTACAGGATTCCCCCCACCCCTCCCCCAAGAAAAAAGAGTGACATTGTGTGCAAAAGGGTACCCCGGGGCATTGTCAGAGGGCCTTACCCAACTGAAACATCACTCTTGATATGTGTTTTGTTACTAATGATCTTACAATATAAAAAAGGGGAATATATATAGCAACGTTAAGTATTTTTATATGTCCAACGCATTTTCAAAACATCCCCATTTTTGTTGAAATTCCGCTAATCTATTATTCTTTATACTAACCCACTTTTCAGTTTTCATTGTCTTTTTGAATAAAATTTTACAAATTTCAAAGTTAGGTATGCACTCTTTAACTCGACAAGAGTAAATGTGTTGTTTTAACAATAGTATTAAATGATTCAAACAGAGTCCGAATTCAGGTTTTCCAAACAAAATATCTACTTCTCTAAACGATGTATATATATGTAGATTATTGTACTGTACATACCAGGCAGTAAATTCCTCAATTAGTCGGATTGTGAAATAACACTGGGTGAAGATGTGTTCCACTGTTTCTGGTTCTCTTTCACAGAAAGTACAAAGTTCATTGGATGCTATTTTCATTTTGAATAAGATATAGTTTGTAGGAAGTATTTTGTGACAAATTTTATATTGAAATGCTTGAAGTTTGGTCTCTTTTGTACATTTAAAACAACTAGTGTATACATCACCCCAACTAATATTTTCGTTAAAATTAATTTTTGTTGCCCATTTTACTTGACATCTTAATGGCTTAATAACTATCTTTTCAATGAACATTTTATACACACACTTTAAATTCTTTTCAATCATAATTGAAGAAATGATGTCCTTTCCTTTAATAGGAGTGATAGTGTTAGCATTTTCTACTTCTTGTCTTAATTCTAACTTCCACTTTCTTTCCAACTTATTAACTAAAGACAAATGCTCAATAAAATCAAACGATGGTACATCAGAGAATTCAACGTAGTTTTTAAGTACCCCATTTTCATAAAGATCACTAATGCTTTTCAGCCCATGCTGACTCCAGAGAACGGCCTTTTTTATTTTCTTGTATGGAACTAAATTTATCAAACTCTTGCCCAAATATTCCTGAATAGTTGTTGCTTCAAATTGAATTTCAGATAATGCAAAACATACAACCTGCCAAAATTGATTTTTTTACATTTTTTCCAATTTCTCTCAGTTTTACTCTGTCAAGATCAAATGAGATATCAATATCAACAGGAAAGATTTCATTAAGTAGTGATTTCCATGATGCATTGAATTCTCCATAAACTCTTTTTATCCATTTAACCTTTAAATATTTAATAAAAGAAGCCAAATGTGTCATATTCAGTCCTCCATCTTCTAAGCTAGCAATTAATATATCTCGTTTGATCTTTTCACTTTTATAATTCCACACAAAATTGTAAATACTCTGATTGAGTTTATTTATGAACAGGCTAGAAGTGTTTGGTAAACAGGTGAATAAGTGTACAAATTTTGGTATAATAAGAGTCTTTGCAATAGTTATTCGACCTATTAAGGTGAGATCACGACACGACCAGAGTCTGAAAATTTTATTTATTTGGTGCAATTTACTATCAAAATTTATCTTTTCCATATCCTGAATATTAAGAGAAAAAGTTACACCAAGTAACTTAAATTTGTCTGTTGACCATTTCAAATTCAATTCTGGGCATATTCTGTCTTCTGAAAATTTCTTACTCCCAATCCAATATAAGCTTGACTTTTGTAAATTAACCTTTAACCCTGATAAAATAGCAAAATCTTCTAAAATGTGTACAGCAGTAGAAAGAGAATGGCTGGATCCATCTAAGAGGAGATAAGCATCATCTGCGTATTGCCCAAGTAAAAAATCTTTCCCAGATATTACCAAACCTTTGATACCATTGTCTGATTTCAATGATAGTGCTAATAGTTCAACAACAATAATAAAAATATACGGTGATAATGGGTCCCCTTGGCGGCAGCCACGTTCGAGACTGAAGAAAGGCGATATATGACCGTTATTAATAATACAACTTTTTGAATCATTATACAAAGTCTTGAACCATTTACGTAAAGATAAACCAAAGTTAAAAGATTCCAAAGCTTTATCAATAAAATTCCATTCTACAGAATCGAAAGCTTTCTCAAAGTCCAAAAGATACAATAACCCAGACTGATTTTTTTCATCTAGAAATTGCATTACATCATACAATAGCCTAGTATTATCTCCAATAAATCTACCTTTAATAAAACCAGTTTGAGATTCACTAATAATATTCGAAAGTACTTGTTTGATTCTATTTGCTATTGCTGCAGACGCTATTTTGTAATCAATGTTCAAGAGTGATATTGGTCTCCAATTTTTCAAATATCGTCTATCTTTTTCTGTCTTTGGAATACATGTGATAACTCCTTGACTCTGAAATTCCGAAAGGTGACCAGTACTGTATGCATAATTAATTGACCTGCATAAAAATATTCCTATATCTTTCCAGAAAAATTTATAAAAGCTTTTGACAATTCATCTATAGTTATAATTCCTTCACAGCTATCCCTATCAGTTTGATTTAATTTAATTTCATGTCTTAAAAAATAAGAATTATCAACATGAGTATTGTCTACTTGTCTAGAGCTATAAAGGTTTTTGAAAAAATCAACTTCAGCCTGAATTATATCCCTTGGACTGTCAAGAATTCTACCGTCATCTGCAATAAGCTCTACTATAGATTTATTTACAAAGTTTCTTTTTTCTAAATCACAAAAATATTTTGTTGCCTTTTCTCCATTTTCATACCAATTTGCTTTGGATCTAATTATTAATCCTTCTATCTTTGTTTTCCTAATATTTTCCAACTGTTGTTTTTTATTTTCGTATTGTAAACATAGTTCTCTGTTGGGCGACTCATTGATTTGATTTTCTAATACACAGATATTTCAGTTTCTAGACTGTTTTCTTCCCTCCTAGTATTTTTGGCTTTAGATACTGAGTATGAGATAGTGATAGACCTTATTTTCATTTTCAGAATTTCAAAAAATAATTGGTCATTAATTCTTAACTCTAATGTTTCATGCCTTTCTTTATTCCCTGAACTATAGTATTCTTCAATGGTTTCCTCAATGCAATCTCTTACTTGTTGTATGTAAGTTAAATCCTTCAATAATGATGTATTGTGTTTCCAATACCCTTTACCCTTTTCAGAATTTTTGAAATTTATTTCTAAAATAATACATGAATGATCAGTTCTATAACCTGGTATAATTTTGCAATCTTTGGTTCTTGAATAGATATCATTAGAAGTCAGAAAGTAATCTAATCTACTTTGTCGAACTGGATTTCTTTGCCTCCATGTAAAAGATTTTAATTCAGGATAAAACTGCCGCCAAGGATCAATCAAATCATATTTGTCCATTATATCTCTAATTACTTCTTGTGCTTTTGGATTATTTATGTTTAATATGTTATATGTATCCATATTCTTGTCCTGAACAGAGTTCCAATCCCCACATAATAGCACTGATGAATTATTGAAAGCTTGCAAAGTGTTAAAAAATGTATTAAAAAAAGTAGGAGAATCCTGATTAGGACCATAGACACAACCTATTGTTAATCTATTTTGGTTCATTGATATATCTAAAAGGATGAAACGACCCACTCTGTCTACTCTGCTACCATGAATAGAAAATTCAAACGTATTTCGAAGCAAAATTGCTACCCCAGCTGATCGTGAATTGAAGTTACTGAATATACATTTATACCCCCACTCCCTTTCCCATAACGCTTCTACTTCACCTGTACAATGCGTTTCTTGTAAACAGATACTTTCTGCTTTTTTTCGTTTAAACCAGTGGTATCGGAATATAAACCCCTTACATTCATAGAAAGACATTTTATACTACCCATAGCAACAATGCTGACCCAGAGGGCAGCCCCCTAACCCTACCCTGATGACCCTGCACACACCAAACTTGTCTCCTCCCCCCAAAACAACACATATCCCCTTACACCACCTAGTTAAAAAGTTAACAACCATAGCTAAACACATGTGTAGGCCACTCTCAAGCTCTGAACTATACAAAATTGTAACATGTGTATAGTTTATTTACTTACAGAGATCACTCATACTCAAACTTCTACTTGCTCAAAATCAGAGATACTTATAATTCTGAACTATAATATTAATCTATAAGCTAATAGATATATGCACAAACAGTTAATAGATTAAAAAGATTACTTCAAAGTTTTCAGAAATTTGGACACAAAAATGCTTACCTTAAAATAGGGTGTTTCTTAAATCCCACACATAATCACTCACAATAATTTGGAATTGCACACATATTTGAAATACACAATTATGAAATTAGAAACAAAATGCACTTGTGTCTATCTGCTTCTGAAAACATCATTCACACTTTGGAACAAGTCCACTGGCTTCCTGACGCCATCACAGACTGCGAAAACACGTCCATTGAAATACCAAGCGTTCTCAATACGCTCGTTACTTTTCAGTCTGTTGATCAGTCCTGCATTGTCCTTGGTCAAATCATCCACCAGCTTCATGGTCCCCATCAAGTTTTTCCTCTGTTTAATTACACTGTTCCTAACCTCTTTCTTTACAAACTTCACCACCAATGGTCTAGCTCTCTTAGTATCTCTCCCTGGAATTCTATGGACTGTCACCAGGTCATCTTGATGGATTGGATGGCTAATTACTTTGTTGACCTCATCACAGAAATCTTTCATCAAATCTCTCTTGTTCTCATCATCCACATTCTCCTTCTCCTTAAAATCCATCACTTTTATGTTATTTCTCCTGCTATATTGCTCATTGTAGTTTCCCTTCCTTATGCCATCTTGAGCCATCCTTTTAACTTCTTCCATCTCTTTGAAAACTGAAGTTTGCACCCTCTCTACCTCTCTCTGCATCTGTGTACTTTGTTTCTTCAACTCGTCTATCTCCCTCTGTTTACCCTGAAGTGATTCCTGTAACCTGTGGTTGTGTGCATTAACTACGTCCAATTCCTGTCTCATTTGTGCAGTTTTCTCAGTAATCTTTTGTCCTAAATCCCTCTCCAGATCTTTCCTAATAGATTCCACTATAGAGCTCACTATTTTCTCAATGTCCTTGGATTTCACTAATCCTGCAGATAAAGCTGTCAAATCTGCTTTCTTCACCACATTCTCCAACTGCTCCTTTATCTTTATCTTATCCTGTCTGATATCTTCATCAACTGCAACATTAGTCGATATACTCTGTCTAGTTGAAGGGCCCCCTGCTGTTCTGCTAATCTTAGTGTGAGTAGACATAGCTCAGGTATGTACAGGTAAGCACACTAGGCGTCAAAGTAGGAAAGTAAGAATGTAGCCCAGGTAGGTAAAACCAGGTACACTGGTGACTACAGGTGAGCACAGTTCACTGACACTAATGTTCACAAAAAAAAAAATTATTTTCCTTCAAAATGTTCAAATTCCAAAGGTCATTTCAAAAAACAAATCAACCAAAGTGCTTAGAAAACACTTATACAAATGACTGACAAATTTGGACTCAAAACTCCTCCAAAAATAGCAATAAATCCACCAAAATTATCAGAGCAGCCTGAGTGTGTGTTGCCTACTCAGCGACCATTGTCCCCTCTCTAGTGAATACACCTATGTAATATTTTTTGAGTATTGCCTACTGTAACATTTTTTTCTCTAGTTCTTCTCCACAGATGTGAATACTGGTAGTATAAATGTCCAGCAAAAGTACAATAAAGAATTAATTTTATTTACACATGTATACACATGTATTAACTATATGCTCCTGCACATCTGGTACATGCAGCCTCCACTGCCTCGGCGATATGGAATAATTGGAAACAACTTAGTCTGCAACTATGCCAGCATCTCTTGTCTGGCATTCTTCGGCGTACTCTGTGTTGTGTCAATTCTTCTGCTGTACATTCAACACAGGTAACTCATGGCAATTCCGTTTCAGCAGGTGTATTTTAAAAATTTGAAAAATAGGCAAATTACGTTGTCAACCACTTCCAAGTGTAGTGGAACCCTCGGCCAGTGACCACTGGTCTTATATATACTGTCAACCACTTCCAAGTGTAGTGGAACCCTCGGCCAGTGACCACTGGTCTTATATATACTGTCAACCACTTCCAAGTGTAGTGGAACACTCGGCCAGTGACCACTGGTCTTATATATACTGTCAACCACTTCCAAGTGTAGTGGAACCCTCGGCCAGTGACCACTGGTCTTATATATACTGTCAACCACTTCCAAGTGTAGTTGAACCCTCGGCCAGTGACCACTGGTCTTATATATACTGTCAACCACTTCCAAGTGTAGTGGAACCCTCGGCCAGTGACCACTGGTCTTATATATACTGTCAACCACTTCCAAGTGTAGTTGAACCCTCGGCCAGTGACCACTGGTCTTATATATACTGTCAACCACTTCCAAGTGTAGTGGAACACTCGGCCAGTGACCACTGGTCTTATATATACTGTCAACCACTTCCAAGTGTAGTTGAACCCTCGGCCAGTGACCACTGGTCTTATATATACATCATATATAACCTGGATAACATGGACGTTAATATATTTATCATCAGAAAATAAAAGTGAGGAGTACAATACCACGGATGAATATACACAATAATATAATGTTGACAAAGGTGATATATTGTTGACACCTATCAAATATTGTTGGTAAATACAATATATTGTTGGTGTATGTAACATATTGTTGGTAACATATTGTTGGTAACATATTGTTGGTATATGTAACATATTGTTGGTGTATGTAACATATTTAATAGAATGTTGGTACAGGTAATTAATTAATGCTGTATATATACAGTATATTGATGCTACCTTTTGTATCCATGAGAAATCTCACTGCTGCTTTAACATTTTCCTTGCCATATCCTTCTTTTATCAATCCAATGATCATATCAGATTCCATCAGATCGACAACACCTTTTGAAACAAAATTTAACAGAAAACAAATTAACAAAAAAAATATTTACTAAAAAGATTTCTACCTGAACAATCAATTCTTGTATAATTCATTAAAGTCTATTGTTAAAATGACAGGATCAAGATAAAGTGCACTACAGGATGTCTGAGGACATCATCCTAGGTCATTGACAGTGTAAAGTGGACTACAGGATGTCTCAGGACATCATCCTGGGTCATTGACAGTGTAAAGTGGACTACAGGATGTCTGAGGACATCATCCTAGGTCATTGACAGTGTAAAGTGGACTACAGGATGTCTCAGGACATCAACCTAGGTCATTGACAGTGTAAAGTGGACTACAGGATGTCTCAGGGCATCATCCTAGGTCATTGACAGTGTAAAGTGGACTACAGGATGTCTCAGGACATCATCCTGGGTCATTGACAGTGTAAAGTGGACTACAGGATGTCTGAGGACATCATCCTAGGTCATTGACAGTGTAAAGTGGACTACAGGATGTCTGAGGGCATCATCCTAGGTCATTGACAGTGTAAAGTGGACTACAGGATGTCTGAGGACATCATCCTAGGTCATTGACAGTGTAAAGTGGACTACAGGATGTCTGAGGACATCATCCTAGGTCATTGACAGTGTAAAGTGGACTACAGGATGTCTCAGGACATCATCCTGGGTCATTGACAGTGTAAAGTGGACTACAGGATGTCTGAGGACATCATCCTAGGTCATTGACAGTGTAAAGTGGACTACGGGATGTCTGAGGACATCATCTTCAGTCATTGACAGTGTAAAGTGGACTACAGGATGTCTGAGAACATCATCCTAGGTCATTGACAGTGTAAAGTGGACTACAGGATGTCTCAGGACATCATCCTAGGTCATTGACAGTGTAAAGTGGACTACAGGATGTCTGAGGGCATCATCCTAGGTCATTGACAGTGTAAAGTGGACTACAGGATGTCTCAGGACATCATCCTCAGTCATTGACAGTGTAAAGTGGACTACAGGATGTCTGAGGACATCATCCTCAGTCATTGACAGTGTAAAGTGGACTACAGGATGTCTCAGGACATCATCCTAGGTCATTGACAGTGTAAAGTGGACTACAGGATGTCTGAGGACATCATCCTAGGTCATTGACAGTGTAAAGTGGACTACAGGATGTCTGAGGACATCATCCTAGGTCATTGACAGTGTAAAGTGGACTACAGGATGTCTGAGGACATCATCCTAGGTCATTGACAGTGTAAAGTGGACTACAGGATGTCTGAGAACATCATCCTAGGTCATTGACAGTGTAAAGTGGACTACAGGATGTCTGAGGACATCATCCTAGGTCATTGACAGTGTAAAGTGGACTACAGGATGTCTGAGGACATGAGGACATCATCCTAGGTCATTGACAGTGTAAAGTGGACTACAGGATGTCTCAGGACATCATCCTAGGTCATTGACAGTGTAAAGTGGACTACAGGATGTCTCAGGACATCATCCTGGGTCATTGACAGTGTAAAGTGGACTACAGGATGTCTGAGGACATCATCCTAGGTCATTGACAGTGTAAAGTGGACTACAGGATGTCTGAGGACATCATCCTAGGTCATTGACAGTGTAAAGATAAAGTGGACTACAGGATGTCTGAGGACATCATCCTAGGTCATTGACAGTGTAAAGATAAAGTGGACTACAGGATGTCTCAGGACATCATCCTAGGTCATTGACAGTGTAAAGTGGACTACAGGATGTCTGAGGACATCATCCTAGGTCATTGACAGTGTAAAGTGGACTACAGGATGTCTCAGGACATCATCCTAGGTCATTGACAGTGTAAAGTGGACTACAGGATGTCTGAGGGCATCATCCTAGGTCATTGACAGTGTAAAGTGGACTACAGGATGTCTGAGAACATCATCCTAGGTCATTGACAGTGTAAAGATAAAGTGGACTACAGGATGTCCTCAGACATCATCCTAGGTCATTGACAGTGTAAAGTGGACTACAGGATGTCTCAGGACATCATCCTAGGTCATTGACAGTGTAAAGTGGACTACAGGATGTCTCAGGACATCATCCTAGGTCATTGACAGTGTAAAGTGGACTACAGGATGTCTGAGAACATCATCCTAGGTCATTGACAGTGTAAAGATAAAGTGGACTACAGGATGTCCTCAGACATCATCCTAGGTCATTGACAGTGTAAAGTGGACTACAGGATGTCTGAGGACATCATCCTAGGTCATTGACAGTGTAAAGTGGACTACAGGATGTCTGAGGACATCATCCTAGGTCATTGACAGTGTAAAGTGGACTACAGGATGTCTGAGGACATCATCCTAGGTCATTGACAGTGTAAAGTGGACTACAGGATGTCTGAGGACATCATCCTAGGTCATTGACAGTGTAAAGTGGACTACAGGATGTCTCAGGACATCATCCTAGGTCATTGACAGTGTAAAGTGGACTACAGGATGTCTGAGGACATCATCCTAAGTCATTGACAGTGTAAAGTGGACTACAGGATGTCTGAGGACATCATCCTAGGTCATTGACAGTGTAAAGTGGACTACAGGATGTCAGGACATCACAGTCATTGACAGTGTAAAGTGGACTACAGGATGTCTGAGGACATCATCCTAGGTCATTGACAGTGTAAAGTTAAAGTGGACTTGTGGATGTCACAGGACATCTTCCTATGACATTGACAGTGTAAAGTGGACTACAGGATCATCATCCTAGGTCATTGACAGTGTAAAGTGGACTACAGGATGTCTGAGGACATCATCCTAGGTCATTGACAGTGTAAAGTGGACTACAGGATGTCTGAGGACATCATCCTAGGTCATTGACAGTGTAAAGTGGACTACAGGATGTCTGAGGACATCATCCTAGGTCATTGACAGTGTAAAGTGGACTACAGGATGTCTGAGGACATCATCCTAGGTCATTGACATTGTAAAGATAAAGTGGACTACAGGATGTCTGAGGACATCATCCTAGGTCATTGACAGTGTAAAGTGGACTACAGGATGTCTGAGGACATCATCCTAAGTCATTGACAGTGTAAAGTGGACTACAGGATGTCTGAGGGCATCATCCTAGGTCATTGACAGTGTAAAGTGGACTACAGGATGTCTCAGAACATCATCCTAGGTCATTGACAGTGTAAAGATAAAGTGGACTACAGGATGTCTGAGGACATCATCCTAGGTCATTGACAGTGTAAAGTGGACTACAGGATGTCTGAGGACATCATACTAGGTCACTGACAGTGTAAAGTGGACTACAGGATGTCTGAGGTCATCATCCTAGGTCTTTGACAGTGTAAAGTGGACTACAGGATGTCTGAGGGCATCATCCTAGGTCATTGACAGTGTAAAGTGGACTACAGGATGTCTCAGGACATCATCCTGGGTCATTGACAGTGTAAAGTGGACTACAGGATGTCTGAGGACACCATCCTCGGTCATTGACAGTGTAAAGTGGACTACAGGATGTCTGAGGACATCATCCTAGGTCATTGACAGTGTAAAGATAAAGTGGACTACAGGATGTCTGAGGACATCATCCTAGGTCATTGACAGTGTAAAGTGGACTACAGGATGTCTCAGGACATCATCCTAGGTCATTGACAGTGTAAAGTGGACTACAGGATGTCTCAGGACATCATCCTAGGTCATTGACAGTGTAAAGTGGACTACAGGATGTCTGAGAACATCATCCTAGGTCATTGACAGTGTAAAGATAAAGTGGATTACAGGATGTCTGAGGACATCATCCTAGGTCATTGACAGTGTAAAGAGGACTACAGAATGTCTCAGGACATCATCCTAGGTCATTGACAGTGTAAAGTGGACTACAGGATGTCTGAGGGCCATGAACAGTGTAATTCTTATTCAATATCATGATTACCAGGGTAGCTTTATCTCTCATCTTGAGATATGATTTATATGTTTTCTTGGCTACATTACCATGAAGGTACTCTTTATCTTATGAAGATTTCTACAATCTTTAAACATTTTTTTAAACATGATTTCTATTTTTGATAAGAATCTCCATGATTATCTTGCTTGCATGTCAGGAGAGATGAGATTTTATCTGTTTAAAAAAAATAGAAGACAGCATATCTATACCTTTTGTCTTGTCTAGATTTGCTTTAGATGCAACTTTATCGGTGCTCATGTTATCTAAACTGAGGCTGTGTTTTGTGCTAGCTGTTTCAGCCCCAGTTTTGTTTTTTCCAGCAGCTGCAGCTTTTGGGGATGGAAAGGAAGATGTAGCTGTTCCGGATTGAGATGTTGTGGATGTAGGATTCGGTGACGACATTGGAGTTCCTTGAGTGATTGAGGGAGTGGTGTTTCCTTGACTGGATCCAGATGCTTTTTGTTGCTGTTGAGCTGTAGATGTTGTGGCCACTGTGTTATTGTTGGAGGTTCGGGTCTCCGAATCTTTTGACGGCATTGCTTCAGACATTCTTTTCTAAACAGATTTCACACACAAAGTAACATTAGAATTATTCCTACAATATGACTCTTGTATATTTTACACTGAAGTCTTTACATTGTGTAGATCTTTGTTAACACATTTTATTCTTGATGTCATTCTCTTCTATAGTGAAAAAATTAACGAATAAATATCACAATGTATCATCGTATGTGATCAGTATAAATTATGCAGAATTATTGCTATCAAATGACAAAACACATAGTTATAAGCTGTTCTACTTAATGATGTCTATTTTATAATCAAGTTAGTGAACATAAAAAAAAGCCCAGTTGATTTGAAATAGTTCCACCAGGATGACTGGTCATGTTAAGCTTTTTAAGATCAGCTGTTTTTTAAAAATTATTCCCCCACCCCCCCGGTATTGATTTTTTAATTATGAGGCTAATGCTACTCCTCATCTAAATTGTGACATTTGTTTTGACATTTTCCTCAATTACCTAAACACTTTAGGCCCTTAGGCATCAAAGTGTGATGCATTTCAACATCAATTATAAGTCTTCAAAGGACAAAACAGCTGTATGATGCAGGTAATTCATTATCTGGCCCTATTCTACCTAATTTTATAATTTTAATTCACTAATGTGTCTTTTGCAAAATCGCTACAAATGACAATGAACAAGAGGTAAGTGCTTAGAAAAAACATATTTGTCCAAACTGAAAATCAATGAAAAGTTTCCACTACAGTCCTCGTCTAACCAGAAATTTCATGAGTATGAACAAATTCTGTGAAAAGTTGACTATCTCATAGACAGTTACAACGAGGATATATTAGAATGGTGTAACGGTTTACTTACTTTATTCTCAAGCTGAGCGACAGCATCCAAAACAAGGTTTATAAAATCCTGGCCTTTTACTTGTAGTAGGAAAGCACATCTCGGAGACCATCGTGCATGTTCTACATGAGGATTATCTGGCGGTTCCCAGTTACGCAGACCTGGAATGATGCTCTTGTTATAATTTGTTTACTTAGAATTCTACAACAATAATACGGGGATGACTTCTTCAATATAAATTATTTTATCTCAAGATGTCTCCGTTATCAGTGTAATACATGAATAATCCATTGCATAAATTTTTGTATATATACATATCTATTTTAACCTAGCAGAGGTATGATTGGCTAATGTCGTGATTTCCTAGCATTGTATTTATTGTGACATCACCAAACAGAGAAGGATATCAAGGGAGATTACCAATTTCGATTTTGCATCAGTCTAATTAAATGTTGTTTTCATGAATGTTTGCAAAAGTATCTAATGATGTGGCAGCATCTTACATTTGTTTTCATTTCTTTGAGACTTACCAGACTAGTCACAAATTTATCATTTTACCTCAAAATTTGTAAAATGTTAAATGCTGGCATGTGATACATATTGTTTACATTGTACAGACCATGTTATACATATTGTTTACATCGTACAGACCATGTGATATGTATTGTTTACATCGTACAGACCATGTGATATGTATTGTTTACATCGTACAGACCATGTGATACGTATTGTTTACATCGTACAGACCATGTTATACGTATTGTTTACATCGTACAGACCATGTTATACGTATTGTTTACATCGTACAGACCATGTGATATGTATTGTTTACATCGTACAGACCATGTTATACATATTGTTTACATTGTACAGACCATGTTATACATATTGTTTACATCATACCGACTATGTGATACGTATTGTTTACATCATACAGACCATGTGATACGTATTGTTTACATCATACAGACCATGTTATACGTATTGTTTACATCATACAGACCATGTTATACGTATTGTTTACATCGTACAGACCATGTTATACGTATTGTTTACATCGTACAGACCATGTTATACGTATTGTTTACATCGTACAGACCATGTGATATGTATTGTTTACATCGTACAGACCATGTTATACATATTGTTTACATTGTACAGACCATGTTATACGTATTGTTTACATCGTACAGACCATGTGATATGTATTGTTTACATCGTACAGACCATGTTATACATATTGTTTACATCGTACAGACCATGTTATACATATTGTTTACATCATACAGACCATGTGATACGTATTGTTTACATCATACAGACCATGTTATACGTATTGTTTACATCGTACAGACCATGTGATATGTATTGTTTACATCGTACAGACCATGTTATACATATTGTTTACATCGTACAGACCATGTTATACATATTGTTTACATCATACAGACCATGTGATACGTATTGTTTACATCATACAGACCATGTTATACGTATTGTTTACATCGTACAGACCATGCTATACATATTGTTTACATCGTACAGACCATGTTATACGTATTGTCGTACCATGTTATACGTATTGTTTACATCTTACAGACCATGTGATATGTATTGTTTACATCGTACAGACCATGTTATACATATTGTTTACATTGTACAGACCATGTTATACGTATTGTTTACATCGTACAGACCATGTGATACGTATTGTTTACATCGTACAGACCATGTTATACATATTGTTTACATCGTACAGACCATGTAATACGTATTGTTTACATCGTACAGACCATGTTATACATATTGTTTACATCGTACAGACCATGTAATACGTATTGTTTACATCATACAGACCATGTTATACATATTGTTTACATCATACAGACCATGTTATACATATTGTTTACATCATACAGACCATGTGATACGTATTGTTTACATCGTACAGACCATGTTATACATATTGTTTACATCGTACAGACCATGTTATACATATTGTTTACATCATACAGACCATGTGATATGTATTGTTTACATCATACAGACCATGTTATACGTATTGTTTACATCGTACAGACCATGTGATATGTATTGTTTACATCGTACAGACCATGTTATACATATTGTTTACATCGTACAGACCATGTTATACATATTGTTTACATCATACAGACCATGTGATACGTATTGTTTACATCATACAGACCATGTTATACGTATTGTTTACATCGTACAGACCATGCTATACATATTGTTTACATCGTACAGACCATGTTATACGTATTGTTTACATCGTACAGACCATGTTATACGTATTGTTTACATCATACAGACCATGTGATATGTATTGTTTACATCGTACAGACCATGTTATACATATTGTTTACATTGTACAGACCATGTTATACGTATTGTTTACATCGTACAGACCATGTGATACGTATTGTTTACATCGTACAGACCATGTTATACATATTGTTTACATCGTACAGACCATGTAATACGTATTGTTTACATCGTACAGACCATGTTATACATATTGTTTACATCGTACAGACCATGTAATACGTATTGTTTACATCATACAGACCATGTTATACATATTGTTTACATCATACAGACCATGTTATACATATCCTGATATTTGTTTATTTATGACATTAAGCCACAAAAATGAGTTGATTTATAATGTAGTATTAATGACATGTTATACAATCCAGGTACAAGGAAACAGCATTTGTTTACATTTTTCTGACCTACAATAGACATGGGTGGGCTTATTACAAAGCATGTACCTATTTCTGGATAAACAGGATATTTATAGTGTATATACTTGATCATATCTTACCGATTCCACATTGAAAACAGCGGACACAGTCTTCATAACCTGAAACAAAACAAAGTTTAGGTTATAATGAAATAGATGTACATCCTTATATCTTTTAACTTAATATGAGGCGAATATAGAATGACTTTTGTAACTAACAGCTAACTGATGTGATAACTAGAAAACACATGAAATTTCTTCTTTATTGTTAATTGATAACACCACAGAATGACCTTTGGAATTTGACCTTTGATATCAGTTGACTTTCTTTTTATGTACAGCAATTTATTTGCATTTTCTCCCACAAAAACATTTTAACATCTTTTTCAAAAAAAAAAAGCAGCTTCTAAATTTGTTAATTGACTATATACAGACCTACTCGTCTTATTTTCATGTGTTGCCCATTTTGATTTCACCCTTCCTTCTTGAAAACCATGAATAGAAATGTAAAACACTCAAAAAAAATTCTTAACTAGAGTCTTCATGAATTTCTACACAAGCCTGATTATCTCAATACCTGTACCTAAATTAGTGTATCGAATGTAGAAAAGCTAACCCTCAATTTTCATTTATCACCTGACCATGAACTGCAATATGAATACATGTGTAATATTCAAAGCAAAAACCTATTTTATCTTCAAATGATTTGATTTCTAAACTAAAATTGCAAAATGTCAAAAGTCAACTGAATCCCCTGGCTAAGTAAATGTTCAGATGCAATTTTAGGTGAAAATATAATACAGTTAAAGTGATGGATAAAAAAAGATTTACCAGCATAAAAGAATCCACTAACAACCATCTGTTTTGGTGTCTGGTTAATATCACTCGGCCATCGTTCAAAGGTTTTCAGCCTGTCATTTTCTAATACATAATCAGGATAATAGGCTATTGACCTCTGTAGATCAGCTGTTCCTCTGAAGCCAGCAACTGGCGCAGCTACTGCAAGAGGACTGCTGGTTGGTTGACTAAAATTGTTCACAGGCGTAGCTGTATCCTGAACGCCGCTGGATATGCTGCTACTCCGACTTTGACCCGAAAGAGAATTCTTGTTGCTACTGGAAAGGCTGCTTTTTGCACTCTGGGTAGGCCGCAAAGAGTTGTTACTACTAGGTAGGCTGCTGTGTGCACTCTGGGTAGGCAGCAAAGAGTTGTTACTACTAGGTATGCTGCTTTGTGCACTCTGGGTAGGCAGCAAAGAGTTGTTACTACTAGGTATGCTGCTTTGTGCACTCTGGGTAGGCAGCAAAGAGTTGTTACTACTAGGTAGGTTGCTTTGTGCACTCTGGGTAGGCAGCAAAGAGTTGTTACTACTAGGTATGCTGCTTTGTGCACTCTGGGTAGGCAGCAAAGAGTTGTTACTACTAGGTATGCTGCTTTGTGCACTCTGGGTAGGCAGCAAAGAGTTGTTACTACTAGGTATGCTGCTTTGTGCACTCTGGGTAGGCAGCAAAGAGTTGTTACTACTAGGTAGGTTGCTTTGTGCACTCTGGGTAGGCAGCAACGAGTTGTTACTACTGGTTGTGCTATTTCTTTCACTGAAGACAGATGATCTTGTTTCATCAGTATGGGAGGTCAGTGATCTGTCTGCTTTAGGCACTAAACCACCAAACTTAAAACCTGCCGTCTCTCCAGCATCACCTACAGACTCGGTATTATACCCAGTGTCAGATTTCCTCTCTGTACTGCTGGTATTGGCTGTTGTTGCACTGTGAACACCAATCATAAAATCATGTTTGGTATATGTAAATGTTTGTTGTACCTAATCTGTCATGAAACCGAATTAATCAGGCACCTTATTAAAATGACATTTGTCTATGATGAGACTTGGCTTTACTAACATCAAGCTTTAACAACATTTGTAACCATAGTAACTTATTCAAAGAAACTCTATTAGGAGTGTACATGTAATTACTAGCATAGTTGATGAATGCAGTGCATATTGGTTAATATGATAATGAATGAATGAATGAATACCAGTAAAGGAGGAGGAGGAGGAGGATGACGACGATGATGATAGATAATGTACTAGTGAATGAATGTACTAAAAATCACAAAGAAATACCTGTGCAAGTAAGAAAATATTAATGAAAATTTTAGTACAGCTCTCTCCTGAGAAATTTTCTTTTATGTGAGTTAGTAACAAGAGATCAAATGACTCAATGCTGTGATACACTAAATCAATATAATATCAATATTGAACTCACAATACCAAAGGAAAAAATATAGTGACCAGTACAGATATTTCTTTGAGAAATTCAATATATGTGTATTTGTTTTGCTGTTTTAAATGCCACAGAATGTTGTGTTTGGATATATTTACATAATACGTTCACAAGAGCACAACTATGTTACAAGCAGATCAATATGCCATGTACCTATTAGATGCTGCTGCTGCTGCTGTGGCTGCTTGAGTTGACATACTGTTACACACCATTCCTAGAATAGTTACATGAAAACGATGCCAAAATGAGAAATGACTGCTAAAACAGAAACAACACAATTATAACTTACAATTGTCATATAACATCAAAACAGAATGCAGTGCTTTAGAAGTACTAGATTATGTTCAGTCTTTCCAAGTATTCCTTCCATAAGAACCAGCATCTTTCCTGCACTGTAAAACTTAATATATATATATTTTTTTAACTTATATTTGATTTTAAGTGTCATTGACTCACAAGTCATGGTACACAATGTCTGATATTAACTCATATGTCATGTTATAAACACTGTCTAACCTTTCATAGTACACAGTAGTATTGATTCAAGAGTCATGGTACCCTACAATATTGACTCATCTGTCTGGTACTCTTCAATGATGACTTGTCTCTCATTAAGACAGTAACTCATCTGTTACATGGTACCCACCAATATTAACTTATCTGTTGTAGTATTCTATAATAATGACTCGTCGCTCATGAAGATAGTAACTCATCTGCTACATATCTGGTATCCAGCAATATTGACTCATCTGTTAAGTACTCTGTGATACAGACTCAATTATCATGAAACATGACAACATTTACTTCCATCATAATTATCTAGTTAAGTCAAATTAATTCAGTTGTCAAGCTACTTACCTGACTTACTTTATAATACTACTTTACAATATTAACTGTACTCTCTATTGCTAACTTACATATATGTCACACCATTCATACTTCCATGCTACACATGTATCACATCTGTCATTCACCACTCTCTGGTTCAGACTCACAGCTGTCACTTTGCACTCACAGATCTCAGTACTCATATTGACTCATCATTCCCCCTGATATCAAGTAAACTGTCGCGATACTCATTGATGTTGACATGCTTTTCATGCTGCTCAATAATATTGACTCACCTGTTGCACTACTTCGAGATGCTGCTGGGGAGATGTCAAACATGGAGCGCATATGGTTACAGTTTGGAGAATATTCCTTGTGAACCAAGTATGGATTAGATGCATTGGTCCATCCAGAGATACTCTTATTACAAGAATAGCATGTGACTTCATCTTGGTTACCATTGTAATAGAATCCAGCCCTGGCCAATAGTAAGCAGCTGACTCTTTTGAAAGCTGGATAGTTGTGAAAGGTACAAAGTCGTAGGTACTCATTGGTCATGAGCTCCTGGCAAGAAGGTGTATCAGCCGGTGACTGTGACAGGAAAAGGTCAATAGCTGGTCCAACCCCGGGACCATACACAGGGTATGTGTACAACAAAACTTCTGGTTGAATATTCATCTCAGATGCAATTTTTTTCAAACCATGTTCACATGACATATTTTTGAGAAAATCACTCAACATCCAATGTAACTTTGAAGCATTGCTCATATCATGTTTAACTGACAACTTTGTTGTCGCCAATTTCGAGACAAAACAAACCTCCTCACTTTCTTCCTCTTCGTAAAATGTTTTATTGACAGCTCGGATAAACTCTACAAGAATTGTTGTCACTAGAATGAAGAGTATACCTTTCCCTGGTTTTGCTTTTTGGTGTTGATGTGCTCGCTTTGATTTTGGATGAACTCCAGTGGAGGTTTGCTTCCTGCATTTATCTGCCATAACTTTATTCTACAATAATTCATTGGAAAGTAATATATATGCTAGTTCCCCCTGGTTTAAGTCAATTTATATTCATTATCAATGCAAATCTTAACTGTAGAACGAATATTTCCAATGTTAAATCAGGGACAGATCTGTATTATACGTCCCTGGTTAAATTAACAGAACTGTATGCATCAAACAGAAACAAAAGACAGGGAATTTCTGTATCTTATGTAACATTGGAAATCTTTTACATTTATACCACCATATTTTTATATCTAGAAATCCCCTTATTTATATCTACACATGTAGTCTCGCGTGTAGTTATATTTAGCATTTCCATTTGTGCTATTTTTGGCTAATGTTATTTCCAATGTGTATATTTTTAGACGGGTTTCCGCAAAAATCTTGAATTGCATACTCTTTGACAGTAGATACGAGAGAATAATATGGGTACTACAAAATACTTTCTACGTTACAGTCGTTTTCATGGGTATAAGATAAGAAATTCTGTTAAGTGAAAATACAAATCGTCACAAACCGTTACTTACAGATCGAATCGATCCGTACACAACAGTTGGTGCTACAGTGTTAAATGTACAGTAAGATATTCTCTCTGTGATTTATATATACTAATGCCTACTGATACTTTACTTAACTTCAACACCGATAAACTTCAGTAATATCGTCATGGAAGTGGTATGGTTAATATAATGGTAATACTTACGTTGATGAGACGCCCAACTAAATAGGTACGGTGGCGGTATCAGTACCCAAGGGGGATAACTCGGTATAGACCGAACACAGCTTGCGTTCGGACAGCGACGGGCTGTTCGGACGTTTTTTAATCACAGAAGGCTTACTTAATTAAACTGTCTATTATTCCAATAATATCTGATTTAGAAGTTGAACACATCATACTCAAACACGACGAGTTGATATATATATAATTTCAATTTTAAAAAAAAGTGCAGAGTTTTCTTACATTGACTGCGTTCGGACAGTGGGTGATTCGGACTCTCCTTATTGACAGCAGGGACGTATACCTGTTGACAGGGGCAGTAACTCAGTGAAAATATCCATCTTTTTTTTTCAGAAGATAAGTTTATCATAATCGCACACGACGATTTATATATAAAGAAAAATATTAATTTTAAAAAGTAGTAAAAAAATCGAGAAATCGATACCCAGCGTATAAAAGTTTTCGTTTTATATATTTATAAGTACTCAATTTTTACCACTTTTAATATTAATGTTTTTAAGAAATAAAACCTGTCTTGCGTGAGCATGGTTGCCAATTCAGTTATTAAAAAAGAATTACTTGAATATTGGGTCGACATTTTCATTGTGTTTAGACATTTCGTTCTTTTACAATTATACTTTTTACACTTTACTGTAACCCAGAATGCTTTGAACACCGAGTTATCAAATGTGATGTCATGTTGTTGACATATTACTATATAATTAATTTAACTCACGAATACCCACTTCGTGAGGTTAGACTAACATGTATTTACCACTAAAGAGAAACCTTAAGCCACAAGGCAGCATACTATATTGTTCTGGAGGCCGTACCGTGAACGTGCGCGTGAAGTACGAGCCCTAGTGAAGTCAGGGAGCTTAGCTGCCAATCATTAGCAGATAGGTGTTACAGAAGAGAAAATTACCCATGTTCTGTAATACTTATAATAATGTTCCATCATCTTTAAAATCTCTACTACCTCTTATTGTCTCAAATGTCATAAAAACATCAAATGGTTTAAACCTATAAAATCGCTGCAGCTTTTTGAAATGTGATATTTATAAAGACCTTCTTTGGAACGACTTTAAGGATTGATGATATTGCTCGGAGGTTCATTATTCATATTGGGAAACTTCGATCGATCTCGTAATGAAATGCTTCGATCCTTCGACGAATGAAATTACTGAAGAACACCGTTCTCTTTGGAGATCTAGATCCTGACACCAATCTAAACATTCTAGTTAATAGGTCTGTTCAATCGTTTATTTCTTGTTCAAAGCGACCTTATAACATCTGGCATTCAGATTGGATAACCAGAATACATACAATGCCCTTTGATTATTCCCTCCATTCCTCTCTCGTTCCATCCTACCTCCTCACACCAACGGTTACCGTGTATACAATTCAATATTATCGTTTATCACAGTTAGTTTATTCCTTTATGTCTCAGTCGTGAATATAAAATAAAGAGCACGTGTTTGGTTTTCTTGATTTGACCGACTAAGAGCGCAGGACAATTCTCTGAACGACTAGACGTGATCGAGAAGAACGGCGATTCGCAGTACAGGATATGATGTACGTCAGAAAAACAGGTTGCATACGCCGACAAGATTGGGCAAATCACGCACTCGACTTCCAATAAACCATAAGCACACATATTTTGTTTTTGCGCTTATTTTACGTGTAAATATTTGTAACGGAAATGGCGGAAGTAAGTTGTGATATCTTTAACCCATTTGTCTTTTGTTTACAATAAAATTTAAACCTGCATCTAGCTGCGGTGTAATGTGTAAAATAATTCGAACTTCTGAAAAATGAAAAATCACATGGTTGTGATATTTGGCCAGTGACATGATGCTGATATTAGTTAAGTTTAGGTTGATGTGTTCAGGCATGTATAAGGTATATCAAATGCACGTTGGAGTCTTCCGAACATTATAAGACTGATAAAGATGCGACGACGGAACACGACAGATTAACTTGGAACTATCAAACAGACATTGCACCATCATTGCAGAAGCCTTATAAAATGTATCATGAAAATTTTCAGTGTAATGTACGGACGGACGGGCGGACGGACGGAGAATGATATTGCAGTTGAAATTAATCTTATTGGTGGTTTTACGTTTTACATGTTCACTTCATCAGTATAGACAAAAATATCCAACTTACTGCTATGTACTGCAACACGCGCTTCGTTAAGAAACACGTGTTTCGGACTGGTTTGACAGGTATGTTGCTGTACACATGCACGGCTGGATTATGACAGATGTGCCAGGTATATAAGAAAGGATATTTCCTTCATTGACGATGTGACATATAAAGATTGTATCAACTGCAAAGACGCAATAAAACTCTGGAGCTACTTGTACATGTAAATACAGATCGTTACCGGTAAGTCTCCGAAATTAATTTGTAGGTCAGGTCGAGGAAGCGTGAAAAGAAGAAGAAGAAGAAAGAGCCAGAGGGAGGGGTAGGAGGAGATGACACATACATGGTACATTTTGATGCTGGTAAGCACTCTAAGAAATATATTTGTTCAAGAAATCTACACGGTGAAAATAGTCACGCCAGTCATGCAGGTCCTCAGTTTGATAATATTGACATTCCGAAGGGCTCTGTGCTTTAGGCTGATTTATTAATAATAGTTTGGTAAGTACTATAATAATTGGATTCTATCTACCGGAGGGCGAATATCTCTATTGTGAAATTTGTTGCACAATGATAGTCGTTTGCAATTAATTGTATAGTTATGAGTTATCCTTCGGGTCTAGGGGGGGGGGGGGTGGGGGGGATACCATCAATCATTGACAACCCAGTGAAATGTCTAGGGAGATGGTACGACGACACCCTGTCTGACAAGAAGAATGTGAGAAAGGTGGAGGAGCAAGTAACTGAATGGCTGAAGAGGATCGACAAGTCAGGACTTCCAGCGAAATTCAAGGCTTGGTTATATCAACATGGTGTTCTTCCTAGACTGTCTTGGAACCTGATGCTGTATGAGCTACCACTGACAGCAGTTGAAACCTTGGAGAGATGTACCAGCAGGAAGTTACGATCATGGCTGGGAGTACCACCTAGTTTCACGGCAGTTGGCCTGTACAGCAAGACATCTCAGCTGCAGTTACCATTGTCCTGTCCTCCATGGTGGAAGAATTCAAGGTGGCCAAGTGTAGATTGGTTATGAACCTGAAGGACTCCAAAGATATCAAGGTACAGAAAGCTGGAGTGGTCACAAGGACAGGCCGGAAATGGTCAGCTGGTGCTACAGTTAGCAAAGCTGAAAATACGCTGGAGTTACAAGACATCGTGGGAAACATCTGTGTTGGTAAACGAGGATTGGGAGTCGATCACTTCCAGCAGTGGAGCAAAGCAGAAGGAAAGGAAAAGAGAGACAGAATTGTATCTGTGGTGAGATCAGAGGAGGAACAGCAGCGCAAAAGTAGAGCAGTTGAGTTAGGACAGCAAGGATCATGGACGCGGTGGAATCTTCCGGAACGCAAGATTACATGGACAGACTTGTGGAAAATGGAACCTCTCAGGATATCCTTCATGCTCAGGTCTGTGTATGACACACTGCCAATTTCAAGCAAATTGTGTAGATGGGGTCTTCTGGAAGATCCAGCTTGTTCCTTGTGCGGTGGAAGAGGCACACTTGCACATGTCTTATCAGGCTGTAGAGTAGCCCTCCGGCAGGGACGGTACAGATGGCGTCATGACCAGGTTCTAGCTGCCCTAGCAGATATTCTGGAAAAGGAGCGGCGTCAGAAGAGGTCACTGATAGAACATCGTAAACCTCACATACAGTTTGTGAGAGCTGGAGAGAAGGGACCACCAACTACTACTGCATATCATGTGAATGTACTCACCCAAGCACCATCCTGGGAAATGAGAGTAGACCTCAACAAGCGTCTCGTCCTTCCTGATTTAGTGCAAACCACTCTGAGACCAGACATTGTGATATGGTCACAACAGCGCCAGAAGGTTATCTTGGTGGAGCTGACGGTTCCATGGGAAGAAGGGTGTGATGAGGCACATGAGAAAAAAGCTGGCAAATACCAAGAGCTTGCAGAGCTGTGCAGACATAAGGGATGGAACACATGGCTGTTTCCAGTAGAGGTCGGTGCCAGAGGATTCCCTGCACAGTCAGTATGGAGGATGTTCCAGAAATTGGGACTGACAGGAGCAAAGAGGAAAGCAGCTATTAAGACCTTGGCTGAAAGGGCTGAGAGATCATCATGCTGGCTTTGGTGTAGACGAGATGAGCCAAACTGGAACCCAGACAACAGCAAGCAGTGATTGATCACCACTGCTGACCCGCCAACCAGAGGACGTCGTGGAATAGGGGTCGAAACGGCCGATGATGGAATCCACCTGACGATGCTGACAACAGAAGGCTCCAGAGCTCCATGTCATCAGTGCCTAACCGAAGCAGCGGTTGGGTTATCATTAGCAGAGAAATCTGTAAGTTCACACAGTCAGTCAAAAGCGTTCTCATATTTACATAAATCTCCAAGTTTGCCATGGACACCTGATACAGATACATACCTAATTGCATCTTAGTTATACAGTATCTTACTCTAACGTATTTATAACCGTGTTAACATTGTAATATTAACGACATCAGTTTGAAAGTATTATATTTATTGATGATGAAGTGTTTGTGCTTCAGTTAGGGAAAGTCGGGGAGGAGTAGGAGGATGGGTTAGGGTTAGGGTTAGGGAAAGTCGGGGAGGAGTAGGAAGATGGGTTAGGGTTAGGGTTAGGGAAAGTCGGGGAGGAGTAGGAGGATGGGTTAGGGTAAGGGTTAGGGAAAGTCAGGGAGGAGTAGGAGGATGGGTTAGGGTTAGGGTTAGGGAAAGTCGGGGAGGAGTAGGAGGATGGGTTAGGGTTAGGGTTAGGGAAAGTCGGGGAGGAGTAGGAGGATGGGTTAGGGTTAGGGTTAGGGAAAGTCGGGGAGGAGTAGGAGGATGGGTTAGGGTTAGGGTTAGGGAAAGTCGGGGAGGAGTAGGAGGATGGGTTAGGGTTAAGGAAAGTCGGGGAGGAGTAGGAGGATGGGTTAGGGTTAGGGAAAGTCGGGGAGGAGTAGGAGGATGGGTTAGGGTTAGGGAAAGTCGGGGATGAGTAGGAAGATGGGTTAGGGTTAGGGAAAGTCGGGGAGGAGTAGGAAGATGGAATAGGGTTAGGGTTAGGTAAAGTCGGGGAGGAGTAGGAGGATGGGTACTAGGAATCTTTCCCCGTCAACAACATGAAAACGATGTAGTAAACTTAATTATGGCTTTTCCAAAGTTCCATTATTTACGAACAACCGAAACATTGTTTTCACTGAAGTTTTCCCTTTGTGATTAAAAATGGAGCTGGAAACAATTCTTATAAAAGTCACGGTGATTTTAGTTGATATTTGTTGGACTTTTCAGTGGAAATATCGCGATGTTTTGTCTACATAGATCTGGACCGTGAAATGACAAATAAAAGACAAACGCACCACAAAAGACGGACCGGTTTATTACGGACTTACGACCAACATTCCAAATGGAATCCAGGACGAAATGATTGAAACTGTACCTTAGTTGATATCTTGTGTGGAGCAACACATACTATGATAGTATTGTGAAATGGTAATGGTGATATCCACTCGATACACACACACACATATATATATGTGTATAATACTTCTAGTACTTGATGTAATATCTGCCTTTGTGTCACTTTATTTACGCTCGTGTGCATGTTCGCTTTCATCTCTGTATTTGCATCTTTCATGATAAAATTCTCTCTTTTCTTTTAATCAGTTCATTTTCTATATATAAATTAAATATTCTCAAAGTTAAATATGAAATTCATTTGGAACAAACGAATTTCTTTAAAAAGTACAATTTATTCAATACAGATTTTTTTTATACACTAAATGTCCATTTTGGTTTGTCAATTAATCTTGTTACATAATTATAACATTCACAAGTCAACAAAATATATTTAACCTTTCATGTCAGGAAGAGTTAAAGCAATTAAATTGTAAAGTGTCATAGACACGGAAGGGTCAATTGTGATTGTATCGGCACTAAGGATTTACACTAGTATTTTATATTAGCCCTTGGTCAACACCCTTTGTGTGGTGAGTGGCCATTACGTAATAGGTTATGGCTAGGAGCCCACATGTCAGTGATTTAGATATTTTTGGAATAATACCGACGCTTACCATTGCGCATGCCTGTGTCCGGAGAACAGCTTGATCTTCATAAAATCTGAGTTTTCGTATCACTTTTTGACGAGACTCAATAAAGGAAAGATCAACGTTAACAGCTGTCTCCATTATATATTTTACAGAACACAAAAAAAAGCTGGATGAAACATCTCATAATATATTTCTATAAGTAGCTTTTATTTAGGCGAATAGAATTATTCATACAAGGAACTATATTGTGTCAATAATTTTAAATCGTGTCAGTTCCTTTGTTATCTACACAAACTTATATGATATATTACGTAGGAATCTATTGGTCACTCATTTTCGGTGACCACTAAACTCGTTCCTTCAAAGGGAAAGCCAATCAAACGAGTTTTAAAAAACGACCGTGCTTATCGCAGTGGAAAAGATCTGGCGCACTTTTCATTACAAAAAAAAAAAAAATGGACTGATGGGCTGGCTGTGTGGGTAAGCACTTGATCTATTTTATCTCACCAACTTACACACATATTGATATACAATTACTGTTTGTAATGTTATCGGTGTTATCATTCACTTTATGATTTTGAATTCTCACAATTTGAAAGTTTTTAACTTGGCTCTACAAACTTAAATACAAACAATCAATGGTTTTGTTCAACAAATTCATTCTCCAGTATAAGTTTACAAGTCGTATGCTCAACTCGTTCTGTTTTCATTCACATCAATAATCACAAACAAACACATACATACACTGAGATGGACGAACTGAGTTCAGCATATCAAAAACAAAATCATATTTTTATCGTAACGGGATTGTATTTATTGACTAGAATGAAACAATAAAGTCAATTTGATAATGTTTACAGTTGGTGAATATTTTTCTCGAACACTTATTTACACCATGAAAGAGGAAAACATCGATCCAATTTGAATATCCCTGAATATTTGAATATTCTAATGATTTCTGCAGAAGTTTTCGTCAGATTTTCATCTTACTCTATACACCCACTTATTCTTGTTGCGATTTTTTACATGTTTCTTTGAAATAAAAATAATTGAAGTTATATCTTTTATCTTAGAACAGTACATAACGACCACATGGGCAGAGTGATTTGGTACTAGCAAGTTCTGCACCCTCGGCTTGAGTGTACTTCAAATCTTATATTGATTTATCCTATCTTCCATGAGATACTCATTTTGATACTAAAAATTGGACCTCAGCTAGCCTGTTACTCTCCTTTACCGTTTGTTACTCATCTTTACTGCCTGTTACTCATCTTTACTGTCTGTTACTCATCTTTACTGCCTGTTAATCTCCTTTACTGTGTGTTACTCATCTTTACTGCCTGTTACTCTCCTTTACTGCCTATTACTCTCCTTTACTGACTGTTACTCTCCTTTACTGCCTGTTACTCATCTTTACTGTCTGTTACTCATCTTAACTGCCTGTTACTCTCCTTTACTGTCTGTTACTCATCTTAACTGCCTGTTACTCTCCTTTACTGTCTGTTACTCATCTTTACTGCCTGTTACTCTCCTTTACTGCCTATTACTCTCCTTTACTGACTGTTACTCTCCTTTACTGCCTGTTACTCTCCTTTACTGCCTGTTACTCTCCTTTACTGTCTGTTACTCTCCTTTACTGTCTGTTACTCTCCTTTACTGGCCTTTTACTCTCCTTGACTGCTTGTTACTCTCCTTCACTGTCTAACTCATCTTTACTGTCTGTTACTCTCCTTTACTGTCCTGTTACTCTCCTTAACTGCCTGTTACTCTCCTTTACTGTCTAACTCATTTTTAATGTTTGTTAATCCCCTTTACTGCCTGTTACTCTCCTTTACTGTCTAACTCATTTTTAATGTTTGTTTATCCCCTTTACTGCCTGTTACTCTACTCTACTGTCTAACTCATCTTTACTGACTGTTACTCTCCTTTACTGTCTAACTCATTTTTAATGTTTGTTAATCCCCTTTACTGCCTGTTACTCTACTCTACTATCTAACTCATCTTTACTGACTGTTACTCTCCTTTACTGTCTAACTCATTTTTAATGTTTGTTAATCCCCTTTACAGCCTGTTACTCTCCTTTACTGCCTGTTACTCTCCTTTACAGCCTGTTACTCTCTTTTACTGCCTGTTACTCTCCTTTACTGCCTGTTACTCTCCTTTACTGCTTGTTACTCTCCTTTACTGTCTAACTCATCTTTACTGTTTGTTAATCCCCTTTACTGACTGTTAATCTCCTTTACTGTCTAACTCAGTTTTAATGTTTGTTAATCCCCTTTACTGCCTGTTACTCTCCTTTACTGTCTAACTCATTTTTAATGTTTGTTTATCCCCTTTACTGCCTGTTACTCTACTCTACTATCTAACTCATCTTTACTGACTGTTACTCTCCTTTACTGTCTAACTCATTTTTAATGTTTGTTAATCCCCTTTACAGCCTGTTACTCTCCTTTACTGCCTGTTACTCTCCTTTACAGCCTGTTACTCTCTTTTACTGCCTGTTACTCTCCTTTACTGCCTGTTACTCTCCTTTACTGCTTGTTACTCTCCTTTACTGTCTAACTCATCTTTACTGTTTGTTAATCCCCTTTACTGCCTGTTACTCTCCTTTACTGTCTATTTCATCTTTACTGCCTGTTACTCTCCTTTACTGTCTGTTACTCTCCTTTACTGCCTGTTACTCTCCTTTACTGTCTGTTACTCATCTTTACTGCCTGTTACTCTCTTTTACTGTCTGTTATTCTCCTTTACTGTCTGTTACTCATCTTTACTGCCTGTTACTCTCTTTTACTGTCTGTTATTCTCCTTTACTGCCTGTTACTCTCCTTTACTGTCTAACTCATTTTTAATGTTTGTTAATCCCCTTTACTGCCTGTTACTCTACTCTACTGTCTAACTCATCTTTACTGCCTGTTACTCTCCTTTACTGTCTGTTACTCTCTTTTACTGTCTGTTATTCTCCTTTACTGCCTGTTACTCTCCTTTACTCTCCTTTACTTTTTAATGTTTGTTAATCCCCTTTACTGCCTGTTACTCTACTCTACTGTCTAACTCATCTTTACTGCCTGTTACTCTCCTTTACTGTCTGTTACTCTTCTTTACTGTCTGTTACTCTCCTTTACTGTCTGTTACTCTCTTTTACTGTCTGTTATTCTCCTTTACTGCCTGTTACTCTCCTTTACTGCCTGTTACTCTCCTTTACTGTCTAACTCATTTTTAATGTTTGTTAATCCCCTTTACTGCCTGTTACTCTACTCTACTGTCTAACTCATCTTTACTGCCTGTTACTCTCCTTTACTGTCTGTTACTCTTCTTTACTGTCTGTTACTCTCACTCTCTGTTACTCTCTGCCTTTACTGTCTGTTACTCTTTTTAATGTCTGTTAATCCCCTTTACTGCCTGTTACTCTCCTTTACTGTCTAACTCATTGTTACTCTCCTTTACTGTTACTCTCCTTTAACTCATCTTTTTACTGTTTGTTTACTCTCCTTTACTGCCTGTTACTCTCCTTTACTGTCTAACTCATCTTTACTGCCTACTCTCCTTTACTGTCTGTTACTCTCTTTACTGCCTGTTACTCTCCTTTACTGCCTGTTACTCTCCTTTACTGCCTGTTACTCTCCTTTACTGACTGTTACTCTCCTTTACTGCCTGTTACTCTCCTTTACTGCCTGTTACTCTCCTTTACTGTCTTACTCTCCTTTACTGCCTGTTACTCCCCTGTCTACTCTCCTTTACTGTCTTACTCTCCTTTACTGCCTGTTACTCTCCTTTATTGTCTGTAACTCATCTTTACTGCCTGTTACTCTCCTTTACTGTCTGTTACTCTCCTTTACTGTCTGTTACTCTCCTTTACTGCCTGTTACTCTCATTTACTGTCTGTTACTCTCCTTTACTGTCTGTTACTCTCTCCTTTACTGTCTGTTACTTTCTTCTTTACTGCCTGTTACTCTCCTTTACTGTCTGTTACTCTCTTTTACTGTCTGTTATTCTCCTTTACTGCCTGTTACTCTCCTTTACTGTCTAACTCATTTTTAATGTTTGTTAATCCCCTTTACTGCCTGTAACTCTCCTTTACTGTCTAACTCATCTTTACTGCCTGTTACTCTCCTTTACTGTCTAACACAATTTTAATGTTTGATAATCCCCTTTACAGCCTGTTACACTCCTTTACTGCATGTTACTCTCCTTTACAGCCTGTTACTCTCTTTTACTGCCTGTTACTGCCTGTTACTCTCCTTTACTGCCTGTTACTCTCCTTTACTGTCTAACTCATTTTTACTGTTTGTTAATCCCCTTTACTGCCTGCCTGTTACTCATTTTTAATGTTTGTTATCCCCTTTACTGCCTGTTACTCTCCTTTACTGTCTGTTACTCTTCTTTACTGTCTGTTACTCTCCTTTACTGTCTGTTACTCTCTTTTACTGTCTGTTATTCTCCTTTACTGCCTGTTACTCTCCTTTACTGTCTAACTCATTTTTAATGTTTGCCTGTAACTCTCCTTTACTGCCTGTTACTCTCTCTTTATTCTCCTTACTGCCTGTACTCTCTCCTTTACTGTTATCCTCATTTTTACTGTTTGTTTATCCCCTTTACTGCCTGTTACTCTACTCTACTGTCTAACTCATCTTTACTGCCTGTTACTCTCCTTTACTGTCTGTTACTCTCCTTTACTGTCTGTTACTCTCCTTTACTGTTATCCCCTTTACTGCCTGTTACTCTCCTTTACTGTCTAACTCTTTTTAATGTTTGTTAATCTCCTTTACTGCCTGTTACTCTCCCTGTTACTCTCTTTACTGTCTGTTCTCTCCTTTACTGTACTCTCCTTTACTGTCTAACTCATTTTTAATGTTTGTTAATCCCCTTTACTGCCTGTAACTCTCCTTTACTGTCTAACTCATCTTTACTGCCTGTTACTCTCCTTTACTGTCTTACTCTCCTTTACTGCCTGTTACTCTCCTTTACTGTCTGTTACTCATCTTTACTGCCTGTTACTCTCCTTTACTGTCTTACTCTCCTTTACTGCCTGTTACTCTCCTTTATTGTCTGTAACTCATCTTTACTGCCTGTTACTCTTCTTTACTGTCTGTTACTCTCTCCTTTACTCATCTTTACTGCCTTTCTCTCCTTTACTGCCT